ACTCATCTAAATTGCTCTCTAGTACTTTGAACTCGAAGTTGCTATTGTAAAGGACAGCCGTTTAAAAACACACCGTATGACATGATTGTCATCAGCTTTACAGTAAAGGACAGTCGTGTGATCCACATCGTATGACATGATTGTTGTCATCAGATTCACAGTAAAGGACAGCCGTGTGATACATATCATAAGACATGATTGTCATCAGCTTTACAGCAAAGGACAGCCGTGTGATACACACCGTATGACAGGATTGTTGTCATCAGTTTCACAGTAAGGGACAGCCATACGATACACATCGTATGACATGACTGTTGTCATCAGCTTCACAGCAAAGGACAGTGGTGTGATACACATCGTATGACCTGATTGTTTTCATCATCTTCACAGCAAAGGACAGTGGTGTGATACACATCGTATGACATGATTGTTTTCATCATCTTCACAGCAAAGGACAGCCTTCTGATACACATCGTATGACCTGATTGTTGTCATCATCTTCACAGCAAAGGACAGCGGTGTGATACACATCGTATGACATGATTGTTGTCATCATCTTCACAGCAAAGAACAGCCTTCTGATACACATCGTATGACCTGATTGCTGTCATCAGCTCCACAGTAAAGGACAGCCGTGCGATGCACACCATATGATGTGATTGTTGTCATCAGCTTCACCGTAAGTGATGCATCAGGCTCGTATGATAATACGTAGTTAGGTTCACAGCCACATACTGACATCAACTTCATTACAGTAGATTACAGCCGTGTGATACATACCATCCATGGCGTGATTATCAGACATCAGGCTCGTATTTCAGGAAATCATTGCGATTGGATAATACAAAGAAATCGTTCAGTTAGGTGGTTCACGGCGGGGCCACATTAAAGCGTTCGTGTCACGTTATACGATTCCCTACTCCACAATGTGTCTTGTTCGTTCCTCGCCATGATACTTGAACACAGAAACAACGCGACATACTAGCAAACTTAGAGGATATAGGGCGTAAAGCCCCGACAACCCGGTGAAACTCATAAGAATTGTTAGCACAGAACTTAAAGACAGATGTTATGTCCCAGAACAAAGAGCGGATATAGATGTTCTGTTAGTATCATCATTTGAATTACCGGTCTACACGAATTCGTCTCGATACAAAACAACACCCGATGATAACTCGAGAATATTATGCAAATTTGGTCCCATGAGATTCAAACAACACGAATTCGTCACACACGATAACTCGAGAAGGAAATGTATACATAAGCCGTTGTCAGTCAATGAGAAGTTGATTGGTGTAGCAAACTGATCCAATTAACAAACCAGCGCGGCTCACTCCTTTCCGCCATTGACGGGTGAGTTCAAAAGACAGATTAGTGATTTTACGGAAATCACTGTCTGTGCTAATCAGACTGGAACTGATAAGGTGCCCCTATTAGTGATATGGAAATCATTAGATAAACAAATGCTTAGGCGGAGGAATTAGGACTGGATCATCTTTTTTTCTACCCTCATAGACATACCTATGTCTTGAATACATCGATAAGTCGAATTTATTACTTGGTTATATATGGAGTGCCAGATACACCACAGGAAACCTACTCCGAGAGTAAGGAAAAAGTGCTCGAGATTTTCAGCAAGGCAAGAGAAGTTAAGAAATTACAGCCCCTCATTGAAAGAGCCCACAGTCTATCTCCCCCAAAACAGGATACGGTCAGACCCATAATCGTCAGGATGTGCCATTGGGAAGATAAATGGCACTCTTTAAAGATGCGGGAGGTGCTGCGAGAGCATGGGTACCATAGCCAACGACTTCACCAAACATCAACGACAGGGGCTACAGCGTCTACGGGCAGAGAACCCTGACACAAGATACTATTTTAAGGGTAATAAACTGGTCGTGGAGCCCAAGGAGAATTCTAGTCGTGATGACCAGTCAACACCCACAGACAGGGAGTTCCCAGGGTACAGCACAAGCGTCGGGTCGGGGACTGATGTCAAGCCCGCACCCACCGGACGGGGGACAGAGGAGATAGGGTTTAGGCCAGGGTAATTTTACGACGCATCACAAAAATCTCAGTGATACTGATAAAGTAACTGACATAAAAATGAGGTTAACTTTATTTTCTCAAACATTGCAGGTATATCAAACAAGTTAGGAGATACTGATTTTGTACATTTTATAGGGCAGTTTGACATTGTTGGTCTAACTGAAACATGGACTTCTGATGATAATATTGATCGTGTGTTTTCAGACTATACTCTCAGGTGGTGTAGTGGTGATAGTAAAACAACATTTGACGAATTCATTTTGTGGTGTAAAATTACTGAAAATTGTGTTTTTCTCAACTTTGACAAGATTTTCTTTAAACTTGCCATTGCTTCTGTTATAAGCTTGTGCCTACATCCACCCAGAGGGATCCACGTATTACAACAAAGCTGGCCTACTTTGTAATAATGGTATCACTTTATTTCAAGATAATTTACTAAACTTACTGTCTAATATGCAAAATGTACAGGTACAGACCTAGACTTTGTTGAAGATTATATTATTGAATACACAGAAGGTGGAGAAAGCTCAATGTGGGGTTTTCTTTTAGACTATTTTAACATCAGGAGATTTTCTACTGATAGAATTGTAAATAATTTTGGAAGGTGTCAATTTATGCTCTGTATTGAATATCCACATAATGAATGGTCGATGTGGATCGGATTCTGAAGCAGGTGATTCTCCTTATATTGGTGTTAGTTGCACGAGTGTAGTAGACTATACTATAGCGTCGTCATCATTGTTTGACAGTGTTGGTGGCTTTTCAATCCCCTCCTGGGACGGTGGGGTAGCCTAATGGTTAAAGCATTGGCTCGTCACGCCGAAGACCCGGGTTCGAATCCCCACATGGGTACAATGTGTTAAGCCCATTTCTGGTGTCCCCCGCCGTGATGTTGTTGGAATATTGCTAAAAGCGGCGTAAAACCAAACTCAGTCAGTCAGTTAATCCCCTCCCGCACAGAATCTGATCATCAACCTCTCACATTGTGTTTACGTGCGCTTCACCCATATGAGTACCCCAACTTCGGAACATGATAAATTAGATCACTTTAGACACAATATTCTATCAGTCAATGTACAAGGACTACTTAGTCAGTCTCTTGATCAGCATTTGCAGATATCGATAGAAGTGTTGATTTGATAACTGAAGCTCTTTGCATAGCTGCTGGCGACATGAAACAAATAAATCACACCAGAAAACATTAAAATCCATGGCACGATACAGAATGTAGTAAACTTAAAAAAAGAAAGATGTAGATATATAAACTAGTTTAGGAAATCGAAAGACGTAGACACCCTGGAAACGTGTCACCGTAGTAGGAATGCATACCATGCACTTTGCAGACAAAAGCGAAATGAATATTTTAAGGTAAAACAGCAAATATTGCAGAATTAGTATAAATGATTCAAAAACCTTTGGTCTATGCTGAAAAGAATAAACGGACAAGCGCATTCGAGAAATAATATTCAAATTGAAGATTGGTAAAATCATTTTAGTGACGCGTTCTCAGACTCGGATAATAACAGTAAATCACGTGACCAGTCTGACACAGAAGTGAATAATTCTAATGGTTCTGATTATATTTAAAGTTTCGTAGAAGATATTAAATTACATTTGTGACGTCATTCCATTGTCTGTTCGCTCCATTACTTTTCAGGAATGGAGCGATGTGTACCAGTTTCAAAATAAAACCTTCATTTTGTCATTTTGACATTTAATTTTGATAACAGAAATATTCCCAATACTTCGAATGTAATTTAAGTAGGGTAATATGCTCGTAACTCTCCATTCCTTAAAAATAATGGAGCCGAGGCCCCGGAATGACGAGTTACTCGGACATTACCCTCTACTTCTTGACTCCCCAATTACCAAGGAGGAAATACTTCATAGTATCACAAACCTAAAAGCTAATATATCTTCTGGTATAGACTCTACCATCTATGATTTTTAAAACACTCTACAGATTTACTATTGCCACTCTTAGAACGGATATTTAACATCATTGTGGAAAAAGGATACTCCCCCAAATCCTGGTCCATTGGCATAATAGTTCCTATATATAAGAACGGTGACCTAAATGATCCTGAAAACTATAGGGGCAAAACATTATTATATGAGTGAGTGAGTGAATTTAGTTTTACGCCGCACTCAGCAATATTCCAGCTATATGGCGGCGGTTTGTAAATGATCAAGTCTGGACCAGACAATACAGTGATCAACAACATGAGCACCGATTGCGCAATTGGGCATTTTTAAGCTTATATAGCAAAGAATTTACATCTACCATAAATAAGAGATTAGTTAAATGGGCAGAATCTGAGAAAAGATAACAGAATTACATCTGCCATATCCGCCTATATAATAGAGATTACTAAATGGGCATTATATCTTTGAAATTGTCTGTTATTACTTTTCAGAATGGAGCGATGTGTACCAGTTTCAAAATAAAACCTGGACATTTTTTTGAAAACAGGAAGTGGTACACCTCTCCATTCAAATTTTTGCCTCCCGCTCTGGATCAGTTCCATATAGTAATGGAGAGGAGATACCCTCTACAGAATGTCCAGGCGTCTTAACAGACTAAAGTTTGGGACTTCATTAAGTAACACTTAGCGATAATATACGACAGTTCCGGGTGAGAACTGGTCTTCAGCAACCTATGCTTGTCGAAAGGGGCGACTAACGAGATCGGGTTGCCAGGCTAGCTGACTTGGTTGACACGTCATCGTATCCAAATTATCATGCTGTTAATCTCTGGACTGTCTGGTCCAGACTCGATTATTTACGGACTGTCGACATATGGCTGGAATATTTTTGAGTGCGACGTGAAACAACAAACAAAAATACAATATTCAAGTTGTGTTTTCTTTTTGATCCGGTTTTGTTTTGGTCTTTGCCGGGAAAATGATCCGCCAGTAAAATGATCCGGATTATATTTGGTCCCTGTCGGTAAAGTGATCCGGGCGACTCAAGTCGACTGGAGCATATGGCACGTGTTCACAGCAATGGAAAAGACTTGGGGTGCAAAGAGATAAGATAATTGTGAGTGGGTTTCTATTGATCTTTTTGACTGTGGAGACACCTTTCTTATGATTATGTTAACTTTGGTGAATCTTTATTTGAGTTTGGGAAACTATCGGTTTTGTCTTGTCAGACAGGTGGGTTCGTGTATCATTTTTTCGTGGTATTTAGACTTGAAGTTTTTGTGAGCAACCAAGATGAAAATTAAATATTTAAAGTTCTTCGACTGGATCGAAATAATTGTTCATTTTAGTATACAGACTGAGCAGTGGACAGATATCTTGCATACTTAGACTTAAGCTGCGGCGTTTTTGTCATGTCAGAAGTTACACTTTGTGGCTGTGGACGGTGTACAAGTACAGTCCGTTTGAGACAAAATGATACTTATGAATTGCAATCTAACACAAAAACAAATAGACATAAAATATTCAAACCAACGCGGACTGCAATAGACAACAGACCAACTTTAGAAAAAAATTGCATAATTTGTGTCACAAAAATAAAAACGTTTAAGAAACTGTCATTTATTTGTGCGTTTTCCCAGTTTGTTACAAGGGTGCACTGGCAACTAAAGGAACAGCGTTAAAAGCGAGATGCACGTGCGTTAACGGGTTCTCAACAATTTTTTGAGCTGGCGACATGACACGTACCCCAGCTGCACAGGCAGTGCGCTGTATGTACTTAGTAATTGCATACTTGGGTCACCCCCTGTCATTTTCATCCTTGAAGAAATCACAGACTTTGTAAATTATAGACTTTAATTTTCTCTCACTTTTGTCAATCAGCAGTAATCACATGTCTCTGACGTCACTAATGCACGTGCATCTCGCTTTTCGCGCTGTTCCTTTAGTTGCCACTGCGCCCTTGTAACAACTTGGAAAACGCACAAATAAAATATGACAAAAAAAACGTATTCAAGGGAAAGAGCCGTCTCTGTTTTGTCCCTCCCTCCTCCCTCGTTGCTGTAATGCTAGCACCACCGTCGTTATGCTCACAAACTTAAGATTACTATTTAACGTCAGTGTAAACATTAGGGGTGTAACGATGCATCGAACTATCGATGTTTCCAACTGTTGAGTCTCCGATAGTAATTAATCGATGGTAGAAACGATAAACTATCGATGCATCGATAGTATGTGTGACTATCGATAGATTAGTAATTGACACCCGTTGATAAATGCGCAGCGCAAAATACAGGAAGTACCAGATTCGATCACTTTGATTTAGAGTTAACCGCCCCTGTTACCTCTTAAAAAACTTTATCTGGGTTTGAAGTTTCTTGTCAGTTATCAAAAGAGACTGACACTACTTCAACGTGTTAGTATAAACTATACATTCATTTGGGAAAAGACTTCAAATGAGACAATTCAATTAGAAAAAAAAACTATTGCAATAGTTGGTCGCAATAGACTATCGCTATCGCAATGGTAACTTGCATTAACGCATGCTTGTCGTAAGAGGCGACTAACGGGATCGGGTGGCCAAGGTCGCTGACTTGGTTGACACATGTCATCTTACCCCAATTGCGTAGATCGATGTTTATTCTGTTGGTCACTGAATTGTCTGGTCCAGGCGCATGTTTTAACCAACCACCGCCATAGATCTATAGCCAAGTGCGACGTTAAACAAAAAACAATCAATCGTACATCGTATTACGTAAAAACTATCTCCGGGAATACCAGTGTAAATACTGTATTAGACACATGTATTATCCCCAGCCAGAAATTGAAGCATGAGACCAGAAGGTGAGTGAGTGAGTGAGTGAGTTTAGTTTTACGCCGCACTCAGCAATATCCCAGCTGTATGGCGGCGGTCTGTAAATAATCGAGTCTGGACCAGACAATCCAGTGATCAACAGAATGAGCATCGATCTGCGCAATTGGGAACCGATGACATGTGTCAACCAAGTCAGCGAAACTGACCACCCGATCCCATTAGTCGCCTCTTACGACAAGCATAGTCGCCTTTTATGGCAAGCACATGGGTTGCTGAAGACCTATTCTACCCCGGATCTTCACGGGTCCAGAAGGTAATATGCTGGAAAACAGACAAAACAAATAATCCATCTGTAGCAGAAATACCTCCTCATGTTAATAATGTTATGGTTTCCCGATTAATAAACGTATATATTTCATTTCAGTCATTTCCGAAGTCATTCACAAATACGTTCAAATGCTCTGATCACTGGGTTTGGGAAGACAACTACCGTCGTCATGGAGTTGATTCAAGTAGCCGATGATGGTGGAGATGAGATGACGCTGGTAAGCTACAACGGCCGCAAATACCCAAAGTTTCCCGGATGTGTGGATACCCAAACATTGGAGAGATTACCTTCTGTAGAAATCCGTCCTGACGATATTCTCGTGTGTGCTTTCCCTAAGTCAGGTAGGTAGACTGTATCAATGCAATAATATAATGATGGTAAATTCGCAATCTACATTAGGGAGTCAGGACCGCTTACAAGAAGTACTTTATACCAGAATAGTCCAAAGATGGTTAGAGAATAGTATACGTGGGTCATGACGGAAAATGGGCAAGATATCGAGCGAGACTTTTGTCAGCTTTTCGATACAGGGTTTCCACCCGAGAAGGGGTTTCCCCAAAGATAAATGTCATGCAGTGAGGTCACCGTATATGGGTTTCCCAGAGGTTTGGAAGGAAGACATAAATGCCACCGTAAGAGGCGACTAACGGGATCGTGTGGTCAGGCTCGCCGACTTGGTTGACACATGTCATCGGTTCCCAATTGAGCAGATCGATGCTTATGCTGTTGATCACTGGATTGTCTGGTCCAGACTCGATTATTTACAGACCGCCGCCATACAGCTGGAATATTGCTGTGTGCGGCGTAGAACTAAACTCACTCACTCATAAATGCCATACAATGACGTCACCTCAAATGGGTTTCCTCAAAGTTTTGTTTGGTGTTGGCGATCTATAGCTTGTTTTTATATTGTATTGTCCAAATAGTGCTATCAGTTTTAACTCTCCATACTAGTTTTAGTTGTAATTGTGATATTCTAGTTGTTTTACTGTCCTTCGTCGGCAGGTTTCTTATAATATACATATATTTCATTTCAAAATCAAATATGTTCTCGTCACGATATGGCTGAAATATTGCCGATGTGACGTTAAATAATAACTCACTCACTCACTCAAAGTTTTGTTGGAAGTCATAAATGTCCTACAAGTAGAAGTTGTTAAACGGCGTCAAAAACTCGAACCTATTTTGCGCTAACCAAGAACCTGCATATGCTTTTACTTTACAGGGACTAACTGGGTCTGGGAAATGGCTCGCCTGCTGGTGGCGGGAAAACTCGACCATGATGAAATCGGCAAAGGGACTGCCATGTTGGAAGCTCACCTTGAAGAAACCTTCAAAGATCTCCCTTCCCCCAGAGTTCTTAACACTCATTTGTTGTTTGACGAGCTTCCTGAGCAGGTAAAAGTGAAGAAACCCAGGATACTGTACCTGACTCGGAACCCCAAGGACGTGACTGTTTCATATTACAACTTTGTGAAGAAGATGCCAAAGTACTACAATTACACAGGAGAGTGGAATAATTTCGTCCGACCATCTCTGGAGGGGAAGTGTGAGTGATTGTCTTTTTCATTCTTAGAACAAATATTAGATAGGGGTGTGGGGTAGTCTAGTGGTTGAAGCGTTCGCTCGTCACGCCGAAGACACCCGGGTTCGATTACCAACACGGGTACAATGTGTGAAACCCATACTGCTCAATGCTAAAAGCGACGTAAAACCAAACCCAGTCAGTCAGTGAGTGATGTTGCTGGAATATTGCTAAAAGCGACGTAAAACCAAACTCAGTCAGTCAGTGAGTGATACCGCTGGAATAATGCTAAAAGCGACGTAAAACTATGCTCATATATTGATGAGTGAATGAGGATGGTTTTACGCCGCATTTAATAATATTTCAGAAATATCACTGTCGGGGAGACCAGAAACAGGCATCATTCATAACACCTATGCGGGGAGTCAATTCTGGGTCTTTGGGATGAGGAGCGAACGATTTAACCACTAGGCTACCCCACTGTCACAAATAACAGTTATGTTCTCCTCTACTTCAGTCCAGGAACACGAAGTCTAATCCCAAATCCTCCACGAGTAAGTTTATTTTATTCATCAGCACCATTCATGTTCGTGGTTATCTATGCAACGTGTTTCAGTTGATTACGGCTCCTGGTTCGACTATGTGAAGGACTGGGAGGAGGTGAAGAAGACAACTGACGTCCCCATACTGACACTTAGCTATGAGGACATGAAAGAGGTGAGCAGGACCACTGTCAAAGTATACCCGTCGTAACCTATAGTATTGTATTGTGTTATGATAATGTTACGTTTAATAATTTGCCGTGTCTAAAGGGTTTAAAAGTCCCCTTTGAACCTGCAAAGTAGAACACAGACTAGTCTTAAATATTCAATAATATATTGCACAAACAACGAGCAAGCTTCAATGAATCACAATACAGATTTCTAGTACAATGCAATTGAGTCACAAATCTAAAGTAATGGGTCACAAATATAAAATATTAACTAACCAGAGTATTGACATTTACAGTGAGAGCAGATATACTAACTGAAGCTTTTTGGCAATGAGAGCAGTCAGGCAGTCAATCTTGAATGTAGGTCAGCTAGACGAAGGCAGACAGATGTATATAAATCCAGTGATATGAAGTCCGTGTGTGAGTACCGTGTCGCACAACACAACAACCATCCTTTATATAGCCCTTACAATTCTCGAGCATTCTAGTAAAGATAGGCTGCATCTTTATTCACTCAGAATGTTATCGAAATTCGTCGAACAAACGACCGGTCACAACAATTATAAAGCCAAGGGAGGCAACTCTGAAGCGCTATCTCAAAAGGCGTACCGCTACAAAATACTATTGCCACTGAACATACATGATGCACGATGTGAGCCGCAACCCACTCTCAAAACTTTAAACATTGTGACCCATAACTATCGCTTAATCATTGATTTTACAAATTAAAAAAAACACACTCTCATAACAATGATGATACCTTTAAATATAGCTATTCCTTGCTTAACCCGTGAAGATCCGGTTTATAATTGGTCTTCAGTAACCCATGCTTGTCGTAAGAGGCGAATTACGAGATCGGGTGGTCAGGCTCGCTGACTGGGTTGACCTATATCATTGTATCCCATTTGCGTAGATCGGTGCTCATGCTGTTGATACATGGATTGTCTGGTCCAGATTCGATTATTTACAGACCGCCACCATATAGCTGGAATATTGCTGAGTGCGACGTAAAACTCAACTCACTCACCCCTCTTTGCCTAAATACATGTCGTCCAATGTATACTCAAAGTAGTGTTCATTATTCTCACAAGACATCAGTATGTATGAGAGGACGAGTGATTATGATAATTGTAGAAGTAATCTGTCCGAAAGTAAACTCTCTGAGTGAGGTGAGGTGAAATTGGGTTTTACGTCGTACCTGAGAATATTTCGCTCATATGACGACGTGCATGCGTGTGTATGTGTATGTGCGGCTGCTTGTACTAAAACAGACTATAGCTGGTATTAAAAATCTCTGAGTACCTGGGTTCGATTCCTCGAACGGGCACAATGAGTTTGGCCACTTGTTTGTGCCAAAGTTGCTGGGAAATTGATAAAAGCGGTATAAACCCTAACTCACTAACTCCTTTTTGTTGATTTGGTGTTTTGATAGCATTCTGACATGACAGTCAGGGTCAATTGATGGAGATTGTTCAAAATGTAGTTGAAGTCCTTGAAACCTTGCGTATGAGAATATTGATCTATTGAGCTGAGCAATGCATATATCAGTCATTTCATGGAAGATATCACAATATCCAACAAACGATTTAGATGAGTCCCTGTGGTGCAAGTATCTAACAAGCTGGGTTGAAATTGAATACAAATCTATAGAGCGTTGTTTCATCAGCTCATTGAAAAATGAATGTTATCCCTAAGTACCTTTGACCGTGCATCGTCAAATTTCACACAATTGTTTGATCAGTTAAAGTGTTAAAAATGGAGGTAAACTTTCTGTGTCTGGAGGTGAACATTATATATTTAACTGTTTTTTCAAACGGCACGTGTTCATATTGAGTAGTTCTTGTCACCTAAGTATTTAGAATATTAATGATGAATAGAAACATATAATTGAGCATCCCTCTATGAAATGGGAAAATGCTAGGTTCAGTTATCAATTGGAAGTATCAAAATACCGAGAACTCCTCCTTAGTAAATATGTTAATCTGCTTATCAGAGAGACAATGAACTCCTGTTTGTGTAACCCTCTTGATCACAATATGGAACAAGTTTTTATGGATAACAACTTCTTTATTTCGTGAGTGCGACGTTTCGATACAGATTCTTGTACCGTTGTCAAGCAAGAGTGATACATGAAGTGGAGGAGCTGCATATATATACTGTATATAACAATGAAACAACATACATTGTAATTGACAAAGGAAACAACATAATTGCCATAATTGGTTAAACAACATACATTGTAATTGACAAAGGAAACAACATAATTGCCATAATTGGTTCCATAAAAACTTATTCCATATTGTACGTCTCAACTTCTAAAAATGCCACTCAAACAAGTTACTCTTTTGATCACGACGTGTTAATGTTCATTGAGTTTGTGTGATCATGATACTAGTTTTGTTGATGCGTTTAAAGGATGCATACACTGAGTTGAAGAAAGCGCGAGAGTTCCTAGGAATTGAGAGAAGTGATGATTTTGTGAAGGAAGTGTGTGATCACTGCAGCTTTGCCTCAATGAAGACAATCAAGACAAAGTCTTCCGAGATTGTGTATAGAAAGGGTGAGTATTTCTCTACAAGTAAAGCTCTGTCAAGATTGAACAACGAGAGGGTGTGAGTCTTTCTCTCACAAGCTCTGGTAGAGAAGGCATCGAGTTCGGGTGAGTATTTCTCTCCCTCTAAAGTTCTGGCAGATGGAACATCGGAAAAAGTTAAGTATTTCTCTCCCACGACGTTCTGTGAGATGGAATATTTAGACGGGGTTAATGTTTATATACCAGTAAAGCTCTGTCGAATAGTAGCGAGAAAGTATGAGCATTTCGCTCCAAGTAAGACTCGGAAATCAACGCATAATCAGTATCAACCAGTATGCTCTGTGAGTCAGAATAATCTGGAAGGTTACCTATATTTCTCCCTGTATGCTTTGTGACATGCCATATCTTGAAAGGGTACGTGTTTACCACAGTTATGCACTGTGAAGTACAATCCAGAATGGGTAAATATTCATTCCCCTTATGCTTTGTGACATGCATGGGACATACAGAGATGCCAACATGCAAATATCAGAAAAGAATACATAAAGAAATATTTCTACTTGAACCCCCGAAAAGACAAATTCCATACCCTCATGGCATCCCAAAATCAAACAGCCACAAAATATCTCGCAATGTATATATATATATACCAAGCCATGAATATGAGATCCTCTGCATAACAGATGTGATATTATTTACTATATATTCTTTTATATTGCACCTTCTGCTACTGTATGTATGTAAAATGTACTATAGGCCTACGGTCTCTTCAGTACTGTAAATAAAGATTGATTGATTGATTGATTGGTCACGTGTATTTCTGTCTAGAATCTTTCCTATTCGTGTAAATAAACCTTTTCAAAAGTATTTTTTATAAAGTTGTCACCTTTCACTAAGTAGGTGTTTTAAGTATTACACTTTTTAGGTCCAAATTACACTTTTTCACATCCAGTATTACACTTAGGCCCAAAATAGGGTTGACATCTCTGGACATTCAGAAAGCCAAATATAAACCTGGTGATATATTTTCTGTTGAATCAAACATCCAGTAAGTTTCAGAATTAATCTCTCAATATACTCCTTGGAATTGGATAAAGGAAGAAGTAGTTTCCTTCCTGTACGGAACTTTGGAGTGGAGTATCTGGAAAGGCAAATTCTTTACCTCTTTCCTGCTTGTAAAATTGAACATCTAGGAATGTACACATCGAGGAACAGAATACTTCTTCAACTTGAGGGTACTGACATTCAGTAAAAAAGACGCATTTTATGCTGACATGTTGTTGCCTATGTTGGACGGTACTTTTGTGATTATAAAAACTTTATAATCATTTTGAAATGTACATACATCTGATTCTGGCTTGCATTTCTGATGTTATTAGGTGGTACCGGTGACTGGAAGAATTGGTTCACTGTCGCTCAAAATGAATGGTTTGACCAAACCTACAAGAAGACGACGCAAGATTGCCCTTTGAAGTTTAGGTATACATTGAAATAACATTACTCGGTAGGGGAGGCAATTATTTTAGAGTAGTTCATAGAAAAGCAGTGGGCAGCAGGCAGAATGAATGGACGATCAACGTGTTTTGTAGAGAATAGTCGCAGTGGCCATAGTGCCAAGCACTTTTGGTAATGAACCAATCATCAATTGTGAGAGTTCAACCGATTCCCAACACTAGTGGATACAGTGAGTGTTGTGTGTTGGTGAGGGGGCGGGTGTGTGGGCGTGGGTGTGTTGTAGTGTTGAGAATTGGTTGAACTCTCACAATTGATGATTGGTTCATTACCAGCCAGAAATCATCGAAATAAATTGGTTGAGTTCATTTTGCAGGATTTCCTGTTCAGATTGTTAATGCACATAAGTATACAGAAAAAAACATGAGGTTTTCTGTTTTTGTTTTATTTAGAAACCGCGTAAATTCCACATCCAATATAAAATGATGCAACTTGCAACCTTTAAAGTCCTCAAGTAATATTCAGTCATAACGTTTCAGTAAGTGTAGTAAGTTTTCTAAACATTAAACACGTTTTCAGGCCCTGACAGCTTCTAAGATACCTTTCTTCGTGAGACGTTTCAAGCAGTAAAACAGTAGTTCAAAAGTCGTTTGTGTTCGATTATGAGAACATGTGATCGATTGCTTGGCCCGTTGGTCACTCCGAGCAATTCCCGATTATTTCAATTAGTCGGAACACCACTAGTGTGTTGGTGCTAGGGTAGATAGGGGGTAGAGCGGATAACACTACAAGGTTGACTGAGTGATTATGGTTTACACCGCAATGGGTTTCACTCTTTTTTTGTATGTTTGTTATTTGCCACACTCAGCAATATTCCAGCTATATCGCTGCCGTCTGTCAATAATAGACTGGACCAGACAATCCAGTGACCAACAGCATGTGCACCCATCTACACAACTGGAATACGGTTCACACAATGTTCCTTTATGGGGAATCGAACAAGGGTGTTTGTCTTGACGAGCGAACGGCTTAACCACTGGACTATTTCAAATGGGTAGAACACTTTAGTAGGGATGCATACAACCTTAAAGTACAACAGTTACAGTACAACAGTTACAGTACAACAGTTACAGTATGCCACATCAGATTATATACAACATGAGCGGATACTTTGTTTCAACAATATATGATTTCCATCGTACCTTTGATACAGTGAAGACAGTGGGGGAGTCACGTGGTCAAAGCAATTCCCTGCATGGGTGAAATTGGTGAAACCCTATTTCCTCCCCCGATGTGATGTTGCTGGAATACTGCCCAAAATGGCGTTAAAATAACTTATTCACTTTTATCAAATGCGATGTCTTATTTATAAAGTCACTCAAGAATGTTTGTCCCTAAATGTTGTCTGTATGATTTGAAAAGGAACTGTATCTTAAGGGTTTTATTCCATAAATATACTCATGCCAATAATGGTTGTCATCCCCTTCATTCTTATTAATAGCCCCGTGAAGATCCAGGTTAGAATATGTCTTCAGCAACCCATGCTTGCCACAAAAGGCGACTATGCTTGTCGTAAGAGGCAACTAACGGGATCGGGTGGTCAGGCTCGCTGACTTGGTTGACACATGTCATCGGTTCCCAAAGGCGCAGATCACTGGATTGTCTCGTCCAGACTCGATTATTTACAGACCTCCGCCATATAGCTGGGATATTGCTGTGTGCGGCGTAAAACTAAACTCACACACGCATACATTCTTATTAATAGGCTGAGGGGTGACAGCCATTATTGGCATGAGTATAGTTATTAACTGCCCATTCATATTTCAAATGACTTTTGTCTGCACATAATGTCCTTCTCCCTTATTGGTGATTAATAAAATGAACTGCCGTAAACATGAAGTAAAACTGCCTTATTGTTCCTATGCATACAGTTGAATAATATCACTGTTTACCAATGTGTGGTCCTGTCTCCAATATGACACATTTCCAACCCATATGTGGAATTGGTTCCATGGCGCCTCAACATTTCTTGAATAAACTTGTAAACAATTCATGTGTTTTACCATTCATTCAACAGTTAACCGTAGGTTGTAAAAATATTATTGGGAAGAATTAGTTTTTATAAATGTTTTAAATGCAAAGTGACTTATATTGTAAAATAAATTGCATAAAGTATTTGATACAAGTTTAATGAATTGCCATCTGGATTTTCTAAACTGCAAAAGCACTTTTAAATTTTGCAATCACAGAACGAAAGGCAAGCCTAAAATGAAACAATTATCATTCAAAGTTTTCTTAGAAGGAAAAGATGAAATGTTCGACTTTGTCACATACCTTCGGGGATCGACCGCCTCCGTGGTGTAGTGGTTAGAGCGTCCGCCCGGAGAGCGGATGGTCGCGGGTTCGATCCCCGACCGCGTCATACCAAAAGACTTTAAAATATGGTACTTGTTGGTCCCTGCCTGGCGCTCAGTATTAATGGGTACAACAAGGACTGGTCGGCTCGGAGTCAGTATAATGTGTCTGAGTGGGGTATTCATGCTTCACTGCGGCATGGTATCTCAGTGGGCTAACACTATAAAACCAGCTTCAGTCTGGGCTAGTACAAGCAGCCGCACATACACATACACACGCATGCACGTCGTCATATGAGCGAAATATTCTCAAGCACGACGTTTAACCCAATTTCACCTCACCTCACCTGCGGGGATCATGAAAGATAAATGTCAGTACAACGTGTAATTATTGGACAATTCTGTAATAACCTGCAATTATTGATTTATTTGTATTATACAGTTGTGCTTTACTGTGTTTAAATCATTTACATATGACTCGGTTATATACAGTCCGCCACCATATGGCTGGAATATTGCTGAGTGCGGTCAAAGAACAAACAATTAAACAAAACATGCCACGTTTATGCTTAGTTGACCCAAGTACATCGCTTTGCAATCCTCATATCAGGTACATTCAGGCTAAACTCACTCATTCACGTGACAAGGACGTAATAGTATCGAAGCGGACTGTAACGGCTTATGAATGCAGTAACATGTGGGACCCGTGAAGATCCGGGGTAGAATAGGTCTTCAGCAACCCATGCTTGTCGTAAGAGGCAACTAACGGGATCGGGTGGTCAGGCTCGCTGACTTGGTTGACACATTTCATCGGTTCCCAATTGCGCAGATCGATGCTCATGCTGTTGATCACTGGATTGTCTGGTCCAGACTCGATTATTTACAGACCGCCGCCATATAGCTGGAATATTGCTGAATGAGGCGTAAAACTAAACTCTTCACTCACTCACTCAGTAACATGTGGTTTCATATAGTACTAATTTTGGTCCACAAACATATGTAACATCTGGATTGAGAAGACTTGAATTGGAGTGCGAACCTACTAAAACAATTGACAAAATATCTTAACGTTCGCAAACGCTTATTATGGTTGATACAATCATTCACTATAATAATTATATATGCCTCGTTCAGCATATAAAATGCTGGATACACACAATTTCACTTGATACAAATGTCTTCAATGATAACACTGACAGTCATGTAGGACATATAGTAGCCTGTCCAGAATACTGAGAGTATGGTTTTACTGCGCGTGACACCAGAAATAGGCTTCACACATCGTAACCATGTGGGGAATCGAACCCGGGTCTTTGGCATGACGAGCGAACGCTTTAACCACAATTCAACCCCACCGCGACCAAACCCTTAGTTCCATAATGCCCATCCTACGATTCAGGCTGTGATAAACGTATTCATCAATCAGTAGTTCTGACAGGTGTCCAGTAAAGGACAGATCATTCATCATGAATGGGAACTAGGATAAACCGACAAGCTATATTTACAAGTCTATGTTGGGAAGTAATGTGTTGTCGTGAGCAGGAACTAGAAGAACCAGGTGACATTTCACACAATCCTTTGAATGCAAACCCAAAGATAAGATTTGAGTCGGTTACAAATTGAGTCGGTTCCCTTGTTTAATGTTCGGGTTTGTTTGGACCAAGACCGTGCATGTGTACGTCAGTCCGGGTGGCTCGGATTCAAACTCAGGGGTAGGTGCAATGTGGTTATGCATACGTAAAGTATGTTATATTGAAAACACATTGCCATATACAAATCAACATGACGGTACGTATGCTGTTTGTTTTATCAGTCTTAAAGTGACTTAAAGTGGCGCTATTGAGCCTTCTGGTCGGTTGTGTCTTCGAATATCACGATGTCATTTTGGAATGTGTACATTGTTACACTATTACTGAGTTAATTTCATCAATTTCAGACTCGTGAAGATCCGGGTTAGAAGTGATCTTCAGTAACCCATGCTTGTTGTAAGAGGCGACTAACGGGATGGGTGGTCAGGCTCGCCGACTTGGTTGACACATGTCATCATATCCAAGTTGGGCAGATCGATGCTCCTACTATTGATCACTGGATTGTCTGGTCCAGACTCGATTATTCACACAGGTTGACGGTTGACTTGACTGACCGTGAAAGTTTGCTTACTGACATGGATTGACAATGATGAACACTTATCTCGTTCAGATGTGTCAACGAGAAAGTACCTCTTTCAAGCTATTTACACGGGCTCAGACTACCCTGCTCAACACTAAAAGCAACAGAGCAAAACTTAAAATATCAGAGTATGTGTTAACACCGTCACAGACATATGCAAAGCAAGTGTTGGTCATTTTGAAAATCACGGGTGTATATGGTACAAGTCAAAATAGGTTTTGCATCGGGCATCACATATCCCAAAGGACCGCCTCCGAGGTGTAGTGGTTAGAGCGTCCGCCCGGAGTGCGGAAGGTCGCGGGTTCGATCCCCGACCGCGTCATACCAAAAGACTTTAAAATATGGTACTTGTTGGTCCCTGCCTGGCGCTCAGTATTAATGGGTACAACAAGGACTGGTCGGCTCGGAGTCAGTATAATGTGTCTGAGTGGGGTATTCATGCTTCACTGCGGCATGGTATCTCAGTGGGCTAACACTATAAAACCAGCTTCAGTCTGGGCTAGTACAAGCAGCCGCACATACACATACACACGCATGCACGTCGTCATATGAGCGAAATATTCTCAAGCACGACGTTTAACCCAATTTCACCTCACCTCACCTGCGGGGGATCATAAAAGATAAATGTCAGTACAACGTGTAATTATTGGACAATTCTGTAATAACCTGCAATTATTGATTTATTTGTATTATACAGTTGTGCTTTACTGTGTTTAAATCATTTACACATGAC